CATTTTTTAAACACACTGGACCGACATAATCAGATTGAAGGATATTACATTGAATATTTGAACAATTTGGTGTATATTGATGAGAAATATTTATTAATTGATCAATTAATGATGGACTATTGAAACGAATTTTTGGTCGATATGGATTATCTATAATTGGATTACAATAAGATCTATTGAATAAATCAGTTGGTTTTCGTGTAACAAGATGACGAGATTGCCAATGAGATAATGTCGTTGTTGTTGTTTGTGATTTTGTTATATTTGTTATTGATGGTGGAGAAATAACATTTGAATGATTAGTTATTAAAACTGATAATGTCGTTGTTGCAAACTTTATAAATATAGATGAAAAAAAATCAATATAGTTTTAGATAGAAAAATTTCGAATTATACACTAAATCTGTGATGAATTTCTTTTAGTTTTTTCCAAAAAAATAAAAAAAGCCTAATACATTAGTCTACATGTTTTTCTAAGCATTTAAGTCTAAAAAAAACTTTATAAATTTCTTGTAATGATATGAAAAGATTTTTAAATGAATGACCTTATTTTTTAATATAAATAATCTATCATGAACTGACATATACAAAACTTAAACTTGTAGAAAATTTATGTCAGATGTCAGAATTGATCATATCGTTAAAAGATTTGATTATTGGTATAAATAAATCAAATACATATTTCGATATGTCACATTGTCAAGTGTAAAATTAAATCAAGTTTGTACTTGAAAATATCTATACTTATTTACATATATAAATAATTATTAGAATTAAAAAAAAGATAGTTTGATGAGTTTTGTACATATCGACTGATAATTTACAGAAAATTTGTAATCTATTCTATCTACATACTGTATTATTTATATCTCGTTTATATCGTTCAATCATTGGAGTTGTATATCTTGATTTCATAAATTGTTGCTTTGGTCTTCTTGTTGAAGGATATTGCGTAATATATTTAGTTTTATTATCAAATGTATTTGTCCATAATTGAAATAAACTTTGTTGTCCATAAAAAGCTTTACAATAATGTTCCGTTATTCCATCTTCCATTATACAGATATTATTTGTTTTTATTCGATTAATAATTAATGGTAATGAACATGTACCACAAAGTGGTGCATGTTGCCATTTTAGAAATTTTCCATCTCTATTCCAATCCATACAACCAGAATTTGTACTAATATGAAAAAGTACATATTTATTATCTCGTGTTGCATATTTTAACCATTCATATTCACATCGATGACAATCATCATTAACTTTTAATAAAAAATCTTGTAAATACGAAAATGAACGAATATATGTATAATTTAATGGATGATTAAATGATGAAAAATTTAAACGTAATATATGTAAATTAGGAAATTTTTCAATTAATAAATTTTCATTACCTAAATCTGTATGATCAAGTATAAGAACATGAAGACGTTTCATAATTAAACATGTTGAATTAGAAAATAATTTATCTAAACTAGGTGATACACGTGTTAAATGTAAATATAATAAATTTTTTGATAAAGAATTAAATGGACATAACTGTTTTGTTATAATTGTTGTTCGATGAAATATCAAAAATTCAAATTTACGAAATACTTTTGCATATTGTTTTATATTGAAATTTTTTATAGTTGAATCTGTTATTTCTAATGTTGATATATCATGAGAATATTTTAATAAATATGGATAGATAGTTGAAATATTTTCAACATAACGACATGTGATCATTTGATAAAATTTTAAGGTAAATTGTTTTCCACCTAAACGTATACTACATTCAGTTGTTGAACCAAATAATGTTCGATTAACTAGACGTGTTGAACGAGTTTCGGAATGAAAATATATTGAATTACATGAAATAATAGGAATAAGAATTAATAGGAATATTAATGAAAAATAATTCATGATCAAGTGTTTATGAGTTGGAGAAATGAATCAAAACAACGATAAATAGAAAGACGAACTCTTAAAAGCACTTTTCTTCTTTCTTCTCAACAGTTGTCTATTGAAGAGCATTTAATCAGATCATATTACTTTTACTACTAAAATTGAAATCATGAAACACACACACACACACACGCACACGCAGACAATCAATTAACTTCTTGATTTAGTCAATAAACAAAATACAAGCAACGTGAAAGTATAATAAAAATTTTGACTAGTAATTGAAGACAATGATGAAAATGAGAGTGTACGTTTATCAGGATCAACAAAAGTTAAATTTGTTCGTTTAGCTATTATAAGTTTCGATGTTTTTTTTCGTTGTTGTTCATGATAATGTCGAGTATATTTTTGAACATTAAGAATTAATTTCATATTTTTTGTATAACATAAACCATTATGATGTTGATCGATATTCTCTAATTGACCCATTGATGTTGATATAAAATAATAATATTGTCCATCAGCAAATTCAGGTATATTTGGATAGGGTAGATATTTTGATATTGATAATGTATAAACTAATGGTTGTAGATCAAATGGTTTATTACATTTTATTAATGGATTATAATTTGTTGTATTACAATGGTAATAATCATTTTCATTAACAAGATAAATTGTATTATACTCAATATTTAAATTTGTATATTCATTATCATAATAAGGACAAAGAAAATCAATTAAATCACCAAGATAAACAGTTAAATATCCTGATGATTGAAAAAGTGTATTCGATGAATTCCAATAAATTTGTAAATGTTGTCGTTGATAACGATGATTTGCGTAACAAATAATCGACATTGAAAATATTAGAAGGGAAATAAATATATATGTTAATGACATGAGCAATAGTAAGACATCGATTAATGTCTATATCTAGAAATAAGATGTTGATTGAGACGAAAGCCATATTTACATATGCGCGAGTTAGGAATTACATAATCAAAAAAAAAAAAGAGAAATTGTAACGTTTATCATAGAACAAACATTACACTGCGTGTCTAATAGACTTGCATTCTTCTTACATGTTCACTAGATGTATATATATGTGTGATCATTCGTCAGCTCAAGGATATGTCTTGTTCAATGATTCTATGATAGAATGTGTTACCTTACACGAATAAGTACTTTGCATTCTCAATAAGTCTCTCAAGATGAGAAAAATGAAACTGTTGTTCAGCATACTAATAAATATAATCATCATATTATTCTGGATGAATAATAAATGTATATATATATATATAAATATTAGAATATATTGATGAAGGTTATTTCGAATGAACGAGTTTTAAAGTCTTCATACAATATTTTAACAAAGCGTAAAAGGTTCTTTTTTTTATCCTTGCATTTACCTTTAATAATGATGTGATTTATATCCATTTGAATTGTCAATGACATGTAAAACATGTCTAACTTTTATTTTATTTGAAACTTTTTTTAAAATAAATGATGGGCTATTTTTTTAACAAGTTTTATTTATTCTTACTTACTTACTTACTTTTTTTTCATTTAAACTAACATAAGTTTATAATCAATGTCATATATTACCTTTCACAAAAAATGATTTCATCTTAAGTTTCTCTCACGTCGTAATAAGAAGATGGTAAGGAAGAAGAAGAAAAGTGGTAGTGCATCGAGAATTGTTCCATATGCGCTCTTCTCTGGTTCAATTATCATCAAGAAAAGAAAAGAATAAGTTGGTATTCAACCGTCAAAATAGAAAAAAAATACAACTTGTATGTGTTCATTCATTCACTTATATTCACTATAGTGTTTAGTCATTTTATACTTCATCATCTCATCACTATTCATATTATTAAATGGATTCACGCACCATCTCTTCATTTATGTAATCTATTATTTTTTTTATAGATCAATTTATTTTTATTTTAAAAATGAATTATATCATCGAGTTCAATAGTAAAAATAGACTTGAAAAGAAGAAATAGAAGATATATTATTTTCTTCTTATAGTAAAAAAAGTACTTTCTTAAATGGTTACCTTTTAAGTGAAAGAAACATTTTTATTTATATTTTTTTCTATAGATAATTTTATTTTTATTCAAATATGTCAACCAATGCATCGAATAAGCAAACAAAGACATTAGAAGATCGTTTAAAGAGACGGCAACGTTTACATGCTAGACTATATTCAGATAAAACTTCTACGGATGAATCTGATATTACATCAATTAAGTATAGTCCAAGAGCATCACAATCACTTGATAGTACATTAAGTAGACATACAAATCATATTTCATCATCTGCAGCATCAACAAAATTAGATGATCAGCGTAGATCATCATTAACAACAATAAATTCTGTCGAAGTATCATCAACACATAATCATCATTCAAAACAAAATCAAAAAGACATTCCATCAAAACCTTCACTTTCGAAACATCAACAACATAATTATTCACATCAAGATGAAAAAGCTATGATTATTAAAGAAACAATTTCCTTTACGCCAATTCAACAAAAAACTTTCGAAAATTCCTATTCAAATCAAAATGAAGAACCTATAATTAGAGAAGACATTCTTACACCTAAACTGTCACCTCCAGCTGTTTCTCCTCGACTTACAAGAAAACATAATTTAATTCAAAAGCAAGAGACTATTGAAAAATCTCATGCATACTATAATGAAGAGCCTGTAATCAACAAAGAACTTATTTCATCTAATATATTACCTCCGATTGTTACGCCTCGAAGAACAAGAAAGTTCAATTCATCAAGTTATCCAGAATATACAACCGCTCTTGAAAAACAATATTATCACTTCATACCATCATATCCGAAGCCGAAAGAACGTTTAGCATCGGAACCAGCTGTATCATTAAATAAACATCGATATGCATCAATCCATCCAAGAGTTGCTAAGCAAAATTCTCTACCATATTCATATGTATTTAGTAAACGTATAATTGATGCTGAATTAGCTCGTATAGCTTCATCAAGACACAGAACTGTTTGGGATTGAATATTGTTAATTTATTTTTTTATATTTTCTTAATTAATCGATTTCTTCAAAGTCATTTGATGAGAATACATTAGTTTGGAATCAGTTTTTCATCGTCTATTTTCTCATTTTTCTAATCAATAATAAATAAGATAAATATTTATTGAAGATATTTTATTCTAATATTTACCTTGATTTCCGATGAATGAGTTCTATGAAATATTTAAATAAAATAAACGAATTGAATAATTCAAATCTTACTCCATATCTGTAGTTATAACCATTGGCTTTATAGTCGGATTTTCTTCAATTTTTCGAATAAGATTAAAATTATCCGTATGATTATAATTGTAAATGTGTGGTTCATCATAAAAAACAGTACTTTTTAAACCAATATCTAATAAATAAACAGTTATGAGAAAAACATTTTGTTGTATTTTATACCTTGTACAATCAAATGAATATTATATTTTGCCATTCCAAATTTATTAGCTGATGTACAAATAATATTTTCATATTTTTTATAGATTACATGTAGCCAACAACAACGTTTCGTACACCAAACAAATGAGGTTTTCTGAAATTCTGTATTCATCGACCATGAATATGTCGGGTAAGGAATACCATCCAAATGACAACAAAGTAAATATTTTGAATCTGAATTAACATGAATTGTCTGTACATAAATATTATCAGGAGATTTTGGAGGATCTTAAATAAAATACAATACTAAAATAACTTTTCTAATAATAATTCGTATTCTTACGAAGAATTGTTAATATAATTCTTCGATGAATAGTGTTTTCTGTTTGACATATATACATTCCAGCATCCGTAATTTCGACGGAATTAATTTTTGTATCTCTTTCATATATCGTCGGAAGATTTTTCATTAAATAGTAATTATACGAAAGAAAATACCATTGTATAGGTAACATTGTTGTCGACGGACAATGCAAATAGATGGAATCATCTATAATTAATATAATGCTTTTATATGGATTAGATTAGCTATTCTTTAAAATAATTATTGTAATACCAATCTAGATCATTTTTTTTATTTATGCTCAAAAATATGAAAATATTTTGTTATTTCCAGAAACAATTAGCATTTCTTTCGAACATATATGCATGTCTATGTAAATGAATATGAACATCTGACAAAATATATAGCACAAAGGATACTAGTAACTACAAGTTACAGTACAAACATAGAGGATCGCTGCCATACAAAGTTACTATTATTGTTTGTAACTCATATATCTGCAGTTAGCAATATTATAATCATTCAGGCGATAATAAAAACGAAATCCGAGTTATATTTTGCGATCTTTGTTTTAAAATTTTCCACCATTCTAACAAATTTTGAATAATTAATAAAGAAATTTATAATGTTTATGTATATATGTACTTATTAATACTATTGAAAAAATGTCTTTAATCTTGAGGAAATATTCCGTATGTAAAATTTTTAGTTTTTAATACCTTCAAATGCAATTCGATATATATCTCGTTCGTTAGTATTCATTTCGAAATAATTATTATCTTTTAAATATTTATCTGATAAAAGTGGATCACCGAAATCTAGATAGAATCATATTTTTTTTAACATAAAACACAAAGAGAATTAAAATAATACTTTTTTTTATTAATGTTTGTACGCGCACACCAACGGATGTTGTATCTATATATAATTTGCAGAAAAGATGTGTTGTACTTCGAATATGTTTAACAAGTAGAGCACTACGATTATATCGAACAGTTTGTTTACTATCAATTAACTCGATAAATTGTTCATTAAAACCATAATTAAAATAAACAGGTCGACAAGTAGTTATTAAATTATCATGAAATTCTGTTAGTTTTGTCCAATGACGATCAATAGAACGTGCTCCTATTATTTCAAAATAAATAAAATATTCAAAATTAAATAAATTACCGTTTGAAAAAATAAAAACACTACGAAAATTGGTTGAATCATTATATGAATGGCATTGATAAAATCCATCACGATTTCTATCGAATTCATTCAAATGAATTAATTTATCATTTATAATTTCTATCTTTCCATTATTTAAATACAATTTCCAATATACAACATTCTTTGAATTACATTCTAATAAATAAGATTTATCTATAGGTATATAAATATACGATGGAAATTCTAATCCATTGAGTAATAAATCTTCTGCTACATCTATACAAATAATTATTATCAATAGCAAAGAAAACTAACTAACTTTGTATCGCAACAATTGCTAGAAACGTTTGACATAGATATGTAAAGATAATTTTCATCTCGAATAAATTTATTTTATTGAAACAAGTAACCACAACAACAAATGACAATATCTATTTAAAACTACACAAAGCATCTATTTTAATTAGAAGCTAAACACAAACAAGTTTTTTTTTCTAAATACAATTGTCTTCATCGTTGACATTTGATATTAATTTATAATCCGACATTATTTCATCATCATCAATTTCATAATGAATTATTTTTCTACGAGATGATGTTGACATATAAACTAATAAATAACTAATAATCAATAGAAAAGCATTACCAGCTAAATGATATGCATATGACATTGTTAATAATGATAATGATCGATGAGATTGAGGATCCCAGATAAATATTGGATTATTTGTTTGTGGCCATAAGACATAAGCTGCTTGAATAAACCATGTACCTTGTGTTAATGCAAAAAAACTTCGCGTAACAATTAACCAAAAATTATTTGGATTAAAACATTCACCTAAAGCACTAATCATTGAACAGATCATTGTTAAACCAAGTAATTTATGTATATGAGCATCTATTACATTTCGAGCATGTAAATGAAATACCATCATGACACTTTCAATAGCAAATGCTAAAAAACCCATGACTTGTGTTGTACGTTTTGGTAATGGAACTTTTAAATGAACGAGTATTTCAATCCATGAACCAAGAAAAAAACCAAATAACATTGCTGTATGATGAGCATTTTCTTCTTCTATATGAGGCATTGGATCTTTTCGATAGCCAGTACTAATTTCAAGTGAAAAATGTATTGATGTTATAAGAATTTTGAGCATGCTTTCTATTGGTAATTGACGAAGAATTTTACTTGGCAAACAATTACATGAATATGTTGTTGAACCTCGAAATTTAACTTGTTGTTTTTCATTGGTTTCATTAGTTAATGATTTTAAATAACGTATACAATTATTTATATGCCACCATATAGCAAATAAAATAAAAAACATGCCTAAATTAAATAAGAAATAATTAAGTTTAAAACTAAAAAAAAATAGTTTGTTTGAGCATACCAGCTGAAACATGTCCGATCCAAGTACCCATTGTATTTTATTTAATCGAAATTATTCTTTTTATAGATTAATCTAAAATAATTTTTATTGCAGAAGTTTAAAAAAACATGTTTCTCTATTAATAAAACGCATTTATATAGAAAAAAAAAGTAAGCGCATAATGTGAGATCATCAAGTTTAAGAAAGAGAAAAAAGAATATACTAGAACTGTATCTGCCTTTTATAATATCATGACAGGCGAGTTATTAAAATCTTTGCGCACAATGACACTTACTTTTTTTTCTGTTACATATTTTAAAAATTTCCTGATAATACTTAACTATAAAAGATTTAGTAGTTATCGAATGCAATCGTAAAATATCAATAACACCTACAATTTCTAATAGTGAAAAAAAAATATTTTTCACTATCTATTTACATGGATTCAACAATGTTAGAATGACGATGCAAAAAAACAGATATATCATCATTGCTCGCATTCTAAAAGAACGAATAAGTACGATAGAGTTAATAATGATATCCGCCTGAACTATTCATTAAAGTATATAATGAAGGTTGAATTTGAAAGAGTATCGACAGCTAATTTATAGCATATTTTATTTCAGAGCTAAAAGTAGATTTTTTAAAATTAATATGACATGTGATCTTAATTTTTTGGTATTTCCGACTAACGAAAAAAGAGATATGAAATAAAAAAATATCTTGTAAAACTCCTAGTAAGAAATGTGTACTTGCAGAACATCTACCACCGCTAATTACCTTCATTATATCTCAAGGTAAGATTTTCTTTCCTTTCTTCTATAGAAAAGAAAGATGATATTCGCAGAAGCTGATGATAGAGAAATAAGCAAGAGTATAAACTAGTCCGAACTTTTTTTGTTAAAGATGAATTTTTTTTTGTATTATATCCCTTGATATAATTAATTCATAAGACTAAAAGTTGTCTTTTAATTTAATCACTTAAAATAGATCTTTGTGTTAATTATTCACGTATCATAATTAATTATATTCTAAAAATTGTCACATAGAAATATTATAATGAAGATTTTTTATTGTTTAATTTTATAGTACCTTTTAGAAAAAATTATTTATATTTTCAGAATAACTCTAAAATTATTATATGATTTTATTGAAAAAAAAATATTCATATTATAAGTCACGCCTTTTTCATATTTTGTACTCATAAGATATAAAAATAAAATAATTACTGCTAGAAATATCTCCATTAACTTCAATAAAGATTTATAAACTGTGATGTGTCGTAAAATAAATATATCACTATGATTATAGTTTGATGCCTTGATATTTATTAAATCTAGAATATTTTAGTTATCAAATCATTTTTAAAACCTGCATTTATTTCAAAAGAATAGATATACACTGCCTTAGCTACTCAAAAGCAAAAAAGAGATACTGTCACGACTATGTATAATGGTAACTAATAAGCAAATATTTAAGATTTTTTTCGAATCAGGTTTGAAATCGTTACAAGCTCATTATACGTTTGATGATAATATTATATTGACAAGCAAAATTATTGTTGAGTATTGAAACATTCTATTTTCCTATCGGAATTCTTTTTAATGGCTTCATTTAATTGATTATATAAATCTTTCAATACAATTTTTCTTGATTAGATAAACATTACTTGAAAATATGATTGAATCAACATGTATTATCTTTTTTTTATCGATATGTTTAATTTATATATAAAATCTAGAACAAAAACATCGTTCGATTAATTATATAATTATTTCGGACTGTGCATCCTTCACTCAAATGACAACATTAGGTATAACATTTATCGTCAACTATTTATATTATAAATAGATATTAAAAATGTTCCTTTATTATAACTGAGTACTTAGCAATCAAATCTAGACGTGCTTAACAAGGTTTTTGTTTAAAAACACACTTCAAAGAGACCAATAAAAGTTTTCTGAAAGTCGTTCAAAATCTTGAAATATATGAATATATATTATCTTCTTTTCTTACTTTTGATGGTACGAGTATCAGTTAAACAACATGTCTGTTTTTTACTATTTTTATTGACATAAGATTTTGTTATCTATTAAATGTTAGCATACAAGTTAAAATTAACTTGTTTCAAACACATCACAATACATCTTTTCTTTCTTTATGGACTGGTTGAGTCGTCATCACTCTATAACAAGCAGCAGCCATATGAAAATATTGAAACTTCTTATTTGTGCAGTCGTTTGTACTCGTGTGATATATTTAATAATTATTAAGCTTCGTAAAGTCAAAACGGAGTACCAGACTTATTTTGCTCAAGTGAATCTAGTATTAAAAGAACAACATAGTGGAGCCAGTGCGGGAATAATTGATCTGGACAGATTGGATTCGAATGTACATTTTATTCGAAGAAAACTAGGTGATGATTACAAACTAAGATTGGTTACTAAATCACTACCTTCACTAGGCTTGTTGAAGTACCTTATAATAAAAGCTCGAACCAATAGATTGATGGTTTTTTCTGAATCATTCGTTGCTGAAATACTATTCAAGATCTGTCGTATGTGCAAAAAGAAAATCTTCGGATAAAAATTAATTTAGAGATAGATATTGACTTACATAGAGGTGGCTTTGAAACCATCAAAGACTTCGCTGAGGCGATACAGATTATTAAACAGAACAGTCAATACTTTGAACTGACAGGGCTAATGGGATATAATGGGCACGTGCCTTATGTGCCTTTTTATATCAACAAACAGAGGTCTATTAAAAAGTCTTTTGCCAATGTGCAAGAAGTATATAGCCAGTTTGTGAATGAACTGAAGAAACATTATGATGCCAAAGCCATTAGTACTATGACTTTCAATAGCGGTGGAAGCCATACTTACTTCTATTATTCCAATTATAAAAGCAACACTCCAGTCAATGACGTCGCAATGGGTTCAAGCTTTCTAGCGCCGCACCATTTTTCTGATCTAATCAAGTTGGGTCATCAACCGTCCTTGTTTTTGACTTCGCCTGTACTGAAAAAGACTAAAACATCTAGACTACCTCATGCAGAAAAACTCACAACTTTAATCAACTTGAGTGATCCAAATCTCAAAGTTTCCTACTTTATGCTTGGTGGTGGATGGTCAGGTGAGCTGGTTAGCCCAGTAGGATTGAAAAGAAATCATTGGTGGGATGGAAATAACCCGGGTTAAACAAACCTGTTGCCCAATCAATCTATCGTAAGCAGCTCGGATAAAAATAATATCAATATCAATGATTTTATTTTTTACCATCCATGGGAAGGTGACGGAGTGCTCTTCTTCAAAAAAGTTGTTCTTTACAGACAAAGTGGTATCGTCGGAGAATGGGATACTTATAAAGGAAGCAATTAATTAAAATATTTCATTTTTAGTAACCTAAACGGTTATTTTATTTTTGCTTTGCAATCTTTTGATAAACTATTGATTACCATGAGTGACACACTTATCACTAATAAATTACAAAAGGTTCTCACTACACATATTTAATTCTTTTGCAAAAAAAAGAATACAAAAAAGAAATGATCCATATGCCAGTAGTTTATATAATTTAACAACTAATATGCATTCACATATACGTATACACGAGGGAAAAAAGACAATAAGTCCGACAATATAAACGAGAGCAATGGACAAGAGGATATAATGCATAAGAAATTAAAGAAAAAAAAGAAAAAATATAAAAAATGATGCAATCAATGTCCAGCTGATAGGACAGAAAATGTTTGAAATATATCCCTTTGGTAATCATTCTATAGAAACTATGAAACTTGCTGACGAAGGAAGAACTCTAGATTACCAAAAGCTTTTGAGCACATATCCTGTCCATTGGTAAGGAGCATATATATTAGAACAATCTACCAAAAGTCCATCAAGAGTGAACGAAACACTCATCCACGAGATAGATATTACTTTTATTTAAAATGATTTTATAACGTTACTGCATCGATATCATATACATCAGTCTTTGTATTAAATGTACCACTTACACATTATACCTTGTTATATATA